ACAAAAGTGTCATCAACATAGCGAAACCAACACTTAGGTTTCCTCACGGCTGTGTCCAGAGCGTTCTTCTCAAATTTTTCCATAAAATAGTTGGCTAGCACTAGACTAAGAGGGCTGCCCATTGCTACTCCATCCGTCTGCTCAAAGAATTCGCTGTTTCACTGAAAGTAGGTTGTGGTTAGACAGTGTTCGAAGAGTTTGGCGATGTCTGGTAGAAATTCTCTCGCAACAAGTTCCATTGCCTCTCTGATTGGTACCATTGTGAACAATGAAACCACATCAAAACTCACAAGGATTTCCCCGGGCGACAACGACAACGAGTGCAACCTCTGAACAAAATGGGATGAGTCCTTTATAAAGCTGTCCGTTTTTCCAATTTTTGGCTGTAATATTTTAGCTAGATATTTTGCAATATTGTAGGTCGGACTTCCAATGGGTCTCAGTGGTACATCCGGTTTATGGATCTTGGGCAGTCCGTAGAGCCTTGGTGGCAGTGCTTCTGTTTTTTTGAGCTTTGCCAACTCCTCGGATGGAAATGTCATATCCTTAATTAATTTGTTCGTTGTTCTTAGTATCCGTGCTGTCGGATCCCGTGTCAACTTCTTGTATGTTGACGGGGTCAAAAGTTCTTTAATTTTGTCTTCGTAGTTCAATGAACACAGTTGCATTGCCCTTATCAGCTGGCAACACGAGAATCTCCTTATCCTCATTCAGCGTTTTCAGGGCTTTTCTTTCACCGAAAGTGAGGTTGCTCTTTGGAGGCTTTGAGCGTTGTAAAATTCTTGAAGTCTCGGCCCTTATCTGTTCTGCGGTTTGAAACCGGTTGCGGTGAAAAATGTCAGGAAGAAATTCCCATAGACCACGGCTTCAAAGCCCGGAAAACATTCCTAAATGTAAGTAACTAATTGTTCAAAATGCGTCCCATTGGTCTCTATGCACTATTCAAAATTGTTTAAACTTTTGAGTTGCACCCGGAATAACATATGTTGGTCATTTCTAATAATAATATTTTATGGCATAATAATACGATAAAAAATGTTTAAGCTGTTTAAAGATGTTTAAACAAATTTGCAAAGTGCAGAGTCGCATTTTGAACATTTACCTTAGTTAATAATACCAAGGTTCGATTATATTTTCACATACGTATTACTTTTAATAGTATTAGTTTTATCACTACAAACTACAAAAAGTGTTCTATCTCAAAATCCGTAAGGTATATCGAGAAAAACGAGGTATACCATTTTTGAAGCAAAAAAATGGGTTTATCTATCGGCCTGATCATATCCACAAGTTTAGCAACGCCGTTAAATTCGTACTTATTATAAATTAATTTTGACCGTACGTGTACAATAACAAGATTTCGGATAAATTTCCAATTCAGAATAACGAGTATCTATCAGCTTCTTTTGCTACAAAAATTTCATGAACGGCAAATAAACGGTGTAATAATTAAGAATAAGTTTCTTTTTTGAACTTGCCACTTTGAATGCTGATAATTCCATAAGCAAGCCAGATCGAATTTCTTTTATATGGAGTACTGGCCTTATTTTCAGTTCTTCTGTACGGCCTAGCATTGTTGACCAACAATTTCGGGACAACCTGTATAAACCCACCGTTCCAAGTTTGCCGTAAATTTTTTCTGTTATTTTGACTTACAGTATGCACTTTGAGTTTCAGTATGCAAATAATCAAACAATGACTTCCAAATGTTGAAAGAAAATAAAAGGATTTATAAAACCCCCTTCAATTTTCTATATGTAGTTTGCTGGTATGTATGTTTCTATTTGCATGTTAAAATGAACCGAATGTTCTTGAGTACGGTTCAATTAAGTTGTTAAAAAAATATTATCTTCATAAAGACGCATATATATTTTATGCTATCAATATTTTTTTTCTCAGTTACGGTGCAATGGCGTAATTTTCTAAGTACTCATGGCAAATGTAGAGACCAAACAGTAACTATTGAAGTCGGCCCAAGATTAAGAGCGCTTAAACTATGTGAATTAATCCTACCTAACACCACCTCTTTCTAAAGCATGTATGCCAGCAATAGTTTGTCCTCCTGCTGAGCACACCTCGTCTTTTAAAGTACCCATGTGCTTCTCTGTATTCAGTACCATTTGCGCCGCTCCCATAACAGTTTGAGCGGCAAACTTTGTGGCTATATCCCTGTGCAATCCCATTCTAACTCCTCCATCTGATAAGGCTTCAATGAATAAGTAAACCTAAAATTTTATATGTTTTGCTTGTTGATCAAAATTCAATAAACAACAATGTGAGACCATATTCTATGAGAATAATTATTATGTAAACACTTACGAATGCCGGACCACTGGCCGTTACAGCACCTACTGCATTAATCATGTGTTCAGGCAAACACTGGCACATTCCAGTTACTTCAAGAAAGCTTTGAACCAGCTGTAGGTCCTGTTCAGTCACTTTGGATCCAGGACAGTACACTGTGCAACCATTGCCTACTAACATGGGTGTATTTGGCATCACTCGGATTACTCGGCTTCCTTCAAATTTTGATAACATCTAAAGATCATTTTCCTGTGTAGTTGATACATTAAATAAAATTTCGTTATTTTTTGTTAACGTAAAAACAAAAATGAGCGTTATGCGTTTTTATACTTATATTTCTATAGTCCAATGCAGTAACTCACTTCCTCCAACTGATGTATTGTAATACCAGCAAGAATAGAAATAAAAAGTTTATTTCTAATTTGATCCGCCAAAGCATTTTTTGAAATGCTAATTAATGCCTCTTTTAAAATATGTGGTTTGACTGCTAGAAAGACGATATTGGCCTCTTGTGCTACTACGGCATTGTCAGTGGATACATTAGCCCCCAGTTGCTTCCAAGAGTCTAGATTTTTTGGATATGGACTTGCTACGTAAACATTCGAATAGTCAATCAAACCTACAAGTATTAAAAACTTTTTGAAGGACTGTATTATAGTATGCATAAAACGATGTTAAACCAATGTTAAAAAATATTCATCCATTCTAGAATGAGCGGAAATTCACACAGTTGGAAATTCTATAGCTATCGGGTGCAGATTATCTAATTAAAAATTATCAAATTATAAAGTATTACCTTTTCGATGTATGCTTCTACAAATAGCTTTTGCCATGGCTCCATCTCCAATAAATCCAATTTTATAAGACGATTGGGTTGAATAGGAGTACACATGTTTCTGAAGAAAAGTATGCTTGATACAACTGGAAAGTATGAACCCACGTTATTATTATAGTATTACTTTTTATATCTAGAAGGTGGTTTATTTTTCAACATTTTTTGTAAGTATGTACCAGTACCTAACTGCCGCTTTCTGTCTGGGCCACCGCTCACCCAGGCAAAGAAATTGCGTCGTTGCGTTTTCCGAAGGTGTGTTTTTGTCTGATTTGGAAGTAGAGAAAAATAGTTTTGTAAAAAAGTACACAGTTTTGCCACTGTTTTCGATAGCGAAAGAATCACTTTTACGCATTTTAATGACAATTTACCTTTACGGCTCATTATTCATAGTATATTACTGTACAAGAGACGAAAGTCGAAGTTCCGCCACTGCTTCAACTTTTAAAACCGCTCAAAAAATTATTTTTAACGGAGGCTAATGTTTAGACCCTTTTCCAGTAGGTAAGACGACTGGTTGTGAAAATCTACAGGGTGTTATTTTTTCTAAAGGCATACATCCTTTTACACCCCCCCATTTTTTTGTTATGCGCCACTGACTTCTTAAATTGAACTACAAATTCAAAATTTTGTTCGGTCCAAGTCAGTGGCGCACCACAAGAAAGTTCTGAGGGGTAAAAGGGGGTATGCCTCTAGAAAAAGAACGCCCTGTAAATTTTGACAACCAGTCGCCATACCTATGGGTAAAGGGTCTAAACATTAGCGTACGTCTCAAATAAAAGCCTATATCTACAAGGTGTCTCATTTGCAATAGCAACGTTTCTGCTACTTTAGGTAAAAGCGGCGTCGAAACCTTGTTGAAAATAGTTTAAATCGTTAGATCACGAAACATCAAGTACGAAAAATTTTAGAATAACATACAGTCTTGTTTTCTGTATACACCGAAGGTGCAGTCAACCACCAGACAATTTAAAATTATATCTGTTGTAGTACATTTAATCCAAATCTGTAAGACTTTCATGTATGGGTTTTTTAAACTATACTATAATAGGTTTTAGTGCATTAAACATTACGTTAAGTCGGTAGTTCTAAGTCAACGAAAATAATAGACCATTGAATCGATTTGAGATGTATATTTAAAGACAGTTACAAAACATATAAAACGGTGATACATTTTTTTAAGTACTTAATATCTACAATATTATATTTGGTATGCATAGCTTTCACTAAAAAAGTGAACATAAGGAACTAATTCGAACATTTCAGCTTACAAATCTGCAAAAGTTGCACTTAGTGGAATATAAACAGTAGCATTCACAACGTTTTATTCAGATCTTATCCAAATGATTTATTGGATTCTAACAGAAAGTAACTTTCAATTACATTAACAATTTTGTGTAAATTCAGTACAAAACTTGATTTTTTTGCAATCACACAACACAACAAGAATAATAAAACAATTCAACAAAATAATGTTTGTTCGATTTGCATAATAGAAAAATACTATTAATGGAGATATTAATTTTTATTCTAAATATGTACTATACTCTTATAATCTACATATTTATAGTAATTAGACAAACATCAAAAATATATTAGAAATATTGAAAGTGTTTTTGTATTGTTTTTGGCACCGTAAATGCAACACTTTGAGCTACAAGCAAAAGTTTAAACTTCTATTTTTAAGGCCAGGAATCTTAAATAGTTGACTGCATTAAATCTGGTTTATTGACTGATAAATGGACTTTTTCAATATGTGAAAGACGGTGAGCTACTCCAGTTGAGAACACTCTTAAATGTAACTAATAAGAAGAACCAAAATTTGGAAGATTGTTTAGCCATATACAAATTTCTAAGCGAATTGTACTCGTAGTTTCTTATTCAATTAGTTTTAAAAACTAATTTTTGAATATTTAGGTTTCGATTGAGGAAGCATGAAGGAATGATCAGATTTTTGATACAAGTATTTATACAACTTCCAGAGCAACCCGATAGAAAACATTTTTTTACTTTACTAGGGATTTCTATTGACCTAGAGTTCTTGCAATTTGTTGCATCTATTATTGAATTTCATAAGATAAGAGTGTCCTCATTTTAGGTGCGACATCCTGTCTAGGATAATGCATATTCATTGTTTAAATTGCCTGAGCTTGTCCAGCAAGAAATTTTGTTGAATGACTGAATTACAAATTTTAAATCGCCCTAAAACATGTATAGTAATGATGTATGTGTAAATATCAAGTTTCGAGTAAATTGTGATTTAAAAATCTGATATATTTTACAATTGCATAATTTATGATTTGAAAGTACATGATACATGCTGATGAACCCAAACTAAACTCAAGCTGCAAAATCAAGAGAAATTAAATTCACCTTTTACTTGATGTTCATGTAAAACTGACAGCTTGAGTAAGTATGTGTTTTGTTGTATCACTAATTTAGAAGTTAGTTGATATACAAATATTTTAATTTGAAATGTTTATTTAAATTTTGTTTAGCAATTGTTATTTCTTTGGTACTAAAATGAGTCTCAAATAGGAATGTGTGGACATAACATAATCAACATTAAGCACATATACCTATCATCTATATATCAGTAAATAATAATTCTAGTGAATGAACAAATAGCAAATTTTAACATTTTTTTATGTACGGATTATCGATTAACTTAAATGATAATTAGAGAAAAATATTTAAATCAAATGTGCACTTTTTACATTCATTAAAAAACAACATCGGGTCCAATATAAAGTGAGTAATAATTGTTTCGACCTTATGAAATATTTTCATACAATTCTAAAAGTCTGTCATAAATTACCCTAAAACATGGTCGATCTAATGGTCTTTGTGCCCAGCACATTCTCATCAATTCGTATGCCTCTCCAGGTGTATTTTCTGGCGCAGGCATGATATTTCCCTCTTTAAGGAATTTTATAACTTCTTCATGGGTTCTACCATAATAAGGCTGTAAGGCAAAGGAAAAAATTTCCCACAAACATACACCGAAGGCCCAAACGTCTGTTTCTGATGTATACTTGTTGTACAAAATACTTTCTAAAGGCATCCACCTAACAGGGATTGCATCTCTATCTGTACCTTTATAATAATCTTGTAAATATATTTTTTGTGACAATCCAAAATCTGCTATCTTAACAACCATATCATCATTGATAAGACAATTTCTGGTGGCTAGATCTCTATGAACAAATTTTCGATCTGATAGATATACCATTCCAGATGCAATTTGAATAGCAATACTTATCTGGTCACGATAAGTCAACTGAAAATCCTTGTAGATTTCCTTATTAGTAAATTCACCACTGATTGCACTTCTTACCACATAATTGGTTGGTGAACATTGTCGCAAAAATTCATTTAAATCACCTTTTCCCATGTATTCAAACAACAAACACATTGGTCTACCTACTGCACACACTCCGAGCAGTTTCACAATATTTGGATGGTCAAATTCGGAAAGGAGGCAGGCTTCTTTTTCAAAATCTTCCTGCATATCTTCTGTTGCATCATCTTTAAGCATTTTTACGGCAACTACAGTAAATTCTTCACCAAATACTAAGCCTGGGGCCTTAGCTTGGAAAACACTTCCAAAAGCTCCTTGACCTAAGTCTTTTAAATAAATGATGTCATTTCTGGGATATTCTAGTTTTTCTAACTTAGGATTTAAAGGCACTCCATGCCTGTGATATTGCATGTTGCTGGGTAGCTTATCCAAATCAATGTTCACTTCTGCATTAGTCGGGGCGTTATATCCTAGCAATCTGCGTTTGTACAATCGGTGGCATAAGAGAACTAATAGCAGAAATATTACAATTGTGGAAAGTCCTAAACAAGATATGATTATTATAAAAGTCGGAGATAAGTATTCTTCCATTTTAATTCCTGGTTGATCGTTGTCTTCCAAAGTGGAGTTCAAACATCTCGGGATTTCACAATGCTGCCATCTAATTCCCGGATTAGTAGTGAAACACCAGGGCCTTTTCTCTTCTCCGCCAGCATTTCTACAATAGTTTTCTGCATTTTTTAGTTCCATAAAAACATCTGGAGGAGAATTGTGAGCTTGTGGTGACTGAGAATCCCATCGTTGGCACGGGATCCCTTCTTTAGAAATATTTACTTTGCCTTGATAGTATCTACCATTTCCCTTGATACAGTCGTGTGTTACTTCTGTATCTTTCATTTCGGTTAAACCGGCGTATGTACAAACAGAAGCAGTTTTTGGAGCTTCCCTATATTTAGGCAGTATGTTACAGTCCGGAAGCCTAAAGTGCCCTCTTGACTTAATAAATATTCCATTTGTTTTTTTATCTTCTAGTACAGCCCATTCTTTGTAACAAAACAAATGCTTTACTGCGATGCAATCTTCATAACACAGGGGCAAAGGGCTCGAAACATTACACTCTGGAAATGCGTACACACATAACATTTTCTCAGCAGCACTGCGACAAGGTTCTTCAAAGGTTGATATCATTTCATCCCACAAAGCTGTAGTAATTTGTTCATTCTCGTAACCGCCCGAATTGTTATACCAAATATATTTAGTGTGGTCCACATATTTCTCACAAATTTTTCCATGGTACAAATTGCAGTACCCTTCAGATCTAGCTGCATTCAAATGCACCAGAGCGAAAAAACAGATCAATGCAGTTTTCATGACAGAAATAAATATCCACTGATAGCTATTATCACAACATTTTCATACAACTTCTTAATTACTGGAATGTTTTTATAATCATCACTGCGGAATCAAACTAAAAACACTTCGATTTTCTAATCATTTTGACATTTGAAATAAACACATCAGACTTGATAACACATTGGGTGCGTTCGGAAGTTACCTTGTATTTGAAAACATTCGCCATTTTCTTTGTTTGCAGTTACTGCTGTTCTTAAAATGGTTTTTAGTAGGGATGACACAAACCAGATTTTTCAGTCACAGGTTCCATGTGTGACTGTTCCAAGCTCGTACCCATTCCAAGTATCTGTGATTTTTTGTCACATGTTATTTTGGCCCATGATAAATATTGGTTTGTATAATATACATACATACATATATGGTTTGTGTAATAAGCCTTGTTCTATGGTTTGTACCTGAAACCGTGCTGAAGCGTATTTTATATTCGTATGTATATATTATTTTATATACGGGCATTATTAGACTCTAAAAGGCCTGTTTCGGGCACTGAAAATATGATTGTAAAAGATTATTGGAAGTTGTTCGGAAGGATGTCAGAATATTGAGACTATAGTTTGTGCTCGATTTCCGGCTTTGGAACCTTGTTTATAAACAGTTATTTATAAATAATTAAAGACAGTGCGACAGCCCGTTTTTTGTGCATAATTGTTGAACCATTGATGCTATCGAAAAAAAGTTTTATCCTTTTTTTCAAGTATTAAAAATACCTATGATATCAGATAAACTACATTAAAATCCGTTCATTAGTTTACTCAAAAGTCGAAAAAAAAACCGTCGATTTCAGCGTTTTGTTAATTTTCAATAATTAATTTAGTTTTGTTGCAAGAAAATGGTACCATAACTTTTTTTGGTCAGTCAGTAATGAAATTTTCATTTACTGTACGTTGTAGTATAACTCTATCAGTAAAATACAGCCTCAGAGAAGTCTCTCCGACGTCTCAAGAAAAATGTATTTACAATCTGGCAAGAGTCCTTTTTACATAACAAATAGGAATGAACAGAAAGTTATGAATATTTGGAACTAAAATTCATACCACTTATAAAGTATACAGACACCTTCAAAAAAAGTTATAGTGCCAAAACCAAATTTAATTATAAAAATTTTACTTTCATCTATTTAGTGCCCGGAAAAAATCTAATCTAATCCGACTGCACTAATTGTTCCATTGAAGAATATCCACGCCACTTCCTAGTAATTTGGGTGCGAATCTGCTGGGTCGGCAATAAATTATGACCAAAGACCGAATGCCTTTATGTATACAAGCGCTGATGTTCAAAAAAACAAAAAAAGTCATAACATTTTTTATGAGTAACGTTTTGCCGAATCATGGGTGCATGGATTCGAAAGTCATCTCACGTCTCACGTCCCACTCCCATACATACAAAACCTTACCACTTCACGAGAATAAAATATCTCCTTTTACTAAAACTCAGGCCAATTGACAACGCCGCGGGGAATCAAAAGGCATAAAGGCAGGTATTTGCCTTTTTGCTTTGTTGAAATATCGAAATCCCGAAGATGTTGTACTGGTATTGATCAGCATCGTAGGTGAGCCCTGTTATTTCAAATCACATGTTATTGTAAATATCGGTCACAGGTACCGACTGTTCCAAAATACCTGTGACAAGTATTTCGTGTCATCCCTAGTTTTTAAACCGTGTGCGCATACGGACTCTTACGTACTTATTACGGGGTTGCTTGTTGTAATTTGAATAAAACGAATTTTTTTAAAAGCCGATTTTATTAAGATATCAGCTAAAGGAAACTTTTTAAATATATATGATCTCTATTTTTATTAAAATTCACATGTAAAATATCTTATTATATTTTGTATATACATAAATGTTTTATTGAATAAATGTTTTTTATAGCCGAGCTTGCTTGAGAACGTGCGAGCTTTGCTGAGTTATTATACAGGGTGTCTCTCCGAGGACCACCGTGATCGATGTTTGACAATCATAATTAGGAGAAATTTGACAGTATACTGAAGGCCTGGGGGCAAGCGATGTGAAATATTTTCAAGATGCCCACACTTTAGGTTATACCGGATAGGTAACAACCACAGAACATACCCCCTCCCATCCAAGGGGGGATATTTTGTGGTAACAACTTGCTATTTTTAATAGAACACCCTATATATTATTAAATTTTTAAATTCTACTCAAAATTCTACATATATCTCATATATAATATCCTATCTAGGTCTAACCGTTTTTGATAAATGTATGTATTTATAATTTTAAGTAAAAAATGACAGTTGATGTAGGCACTAGAACAATAATTTTTTTAACTACTAATCTGAGAAGTTACACCAGTATTTACACCATTTCCTTAGTGAGAAGTTATATTTCTCTCCCTAGGTCAATAATAATAAAGTCCCTAAGTAAATAATGAAATATGTATGTGGAAATTTTTGGTTATTTTTATTTTGCCCACCGGTCTAAGTTATGGTGAGATTCCATCCATTTCCACTTCTAAATCACTGTCACTTTAAGATTCACTAATTTTTCGATTTCCCAAAAGTTTTCCATCTACCTTTTATCTATTTTCTGGAGACCGATAAATTACATTGAGGCAATGAAGGCTTTTACGGCCGGTTAAATTACATTTAGGAATGTTTTCCGGGCTTTGAAGCCGTGGTCTATCGGAATTTCTTCCTGACGTTTCGTCCACAACTGCGGTGGACATTTTCAAAGGCGATGAGGCAGTGGGCGAAGTGATCTCCCGTGCTTTCCGACTAAGACTGATGAGTCATCAGTCTTTCATAAATAATTTCATAAAGACTGTCTGAAGCCCATATCCCATGTATCCATTTATATGATGATACGAAAGTGTTTCTATTGGTTGGGGATCTGTCAATTCGTCCGTCATAGTACGAACTGACAGATCTCCAACCAATAGAAACACTCGTGCCATCGTATCATCGTATAAACGGAGGTATGGGACATGGACTTTACACCGCCAAAAAGTAATTTCAAAGTTTCAGCGTCGCTCTCAAGCAGTCCGGGCTTGAATCTTATATAAACTTTATGGCATTAGATGAAGAAATAATTGCGTAATGATTCTCATTGAACAGTTCCAGCATTAAAGGCAAAAACAACTGATATTGGGAATCGGTTCACCCCAGAATATTGCCAGACTAGTGGATTCAAAGGCAAAACGTACAAAAGCCGATTTAAGCCGGAGGGTGACGTTAGTTCTTATTAAAGTTCGCCTTAAGATAGTGGTATTAAAGTGCGTCAGAATATTTATTTGTCAGTAAGTCATTTTTGCTAAGTTGTTAAATAGAAAAAGCAGAATAAAAAATGTATTACATTGCCAGTCTTTATGTCGCGTAAAGGAATTATGAATTCATTTTCCAGTAGAAGAAACAAAAAAATATATTTAATGTAAAAATAAATGGTTTATTTTGTACACATCGAATATCGTCCAAACGTAGAATAGTTGTTAGGGCTCGTATATCTAATGATATTACCTACTTTAAAGGAGATTTCATTTATACGGGCCGTGGTCATCATACTTTTGTAGAAGGGTGTCTTTGACTTAATATAATAATATTAATTAATTAAGGGATAATTCCTCAAAATAAATAACAATACTTTAAACACCCTGTATATATCATCATGTTTACTTTACCCGACTTTCACCTTTCTATTTCACTGCAATTAAGTTTTTTGAGGAAGTGAGAGCAACTAGCGACCCTTTGAATGCAGGATTTATTTTCGTGGAAATACGCAATTTGCATCGCAAAGCGTTTGATAATATACCGTACTATCAAGATGTGTTTACCGGTAGATGTTGGCACCTCAATGGCAGATATTCTGGATAGATCTTCTAGTAATATAAGTAATTTATTAAAACTCACCTTATAATATGAGCTGAATGAAACTTGCTCATCACTTTCATTTTGCACCAATTATATATTATTTATAAACACTGACCTTTAAAACGTCGTGCGACTAAAATTAAGATCAATACATTCTGACTAGCTGTTCATAGAACCTAGGTTGTGCATGCCAGATTACTGTATGTAATACACTTTGAAAATAAATAGCAAACATTAGTTAACTTTTTTTAAGATGACTATTTTAATACGAATACGTTAAAGCAACATGTAGTTCCTTTATCCGATGCAATATCCATTCATAAAGCAATTACATCTTTTGATAAATGGACACTTTCTGGCGAAAAAAAGAAAGTAGTAGAAAAAATAGAAAGTTTTTTGGTAGTAACTCCTATATGAAATAGACCAAAAAAAATTACTTAACTTTTTTGATTCTGTTAATTTTAAATATAAGTTTGACCAATAATTTAAAATCAAAAGCAAGGCTTTCGCGGCTATTGGCAACTGGTGAATTATTCGGTTTTTTTTGGTCGTCATGAATTATAATTTGTTTCCGTCGTGGTTTGCTCAAAAGTTTACACTGTACTGATGTCGTCAGAAAGAAATTCTAATTCACAACGGCTTAAAAACACGAAAGACTCAGTTTCAAGGCGCGTCGGCACGGAAGATTTAATTAAATCAATTCTACCCCAGTTTCAAAAATATATATTGCAGATATATACAAACTAAATAACACTCAGAGCTAAACTGGCGTTAAATTATAACACTATTGCTATTTGCACTATTGAAAACAGATAAGTCCACTACAGACCATCAGATTAGACACATCGGCAACGTTATACATGATCTATTATTACTTCAAAAATAATAACAATATGTTCGGGTTATTCAATCTCACTTAACACTATTATTTTATAATACTGAAAATTGAAAAGTTATTGCCTTTGAAAATTGTGTAATAATATTTTTTGATCATATGAATCATGTGAAACCTGTCATTTTACGTTATAGGTTGAAATTAACGTTTTATTAAAAGACCGACAATTTTCTAACTATTCAGTTTCTTTTCTGTCCAAGTTCTGCAGATCGTTTTGCAGCAGCTTCGACAGCATTAAACAATGATGCCCTAGAAAAAAAAATAAATGCAGGAGGTTTCATGAGGAAGGGGAATTACTTTAATCACGTAAATTAGGTCCGAAAATAACCCTAGTTTGCTAAAAAAACGATAGCCATAAATGCTTCGTTTCGGATTTACAGGGTGTTGAACTCTAATAAAAAAAAATACAAAATGATAAATTTCTCGAAAACTCATGGAGATATTTTAACGAAATGTTCCAGGGTTCAAAACCTCGGAAAGACGCATGTTTCGCAATAAAATAATTTTGGTCAGTGGCGTACCAAATTTGTTAAAGGAAAAAATGGTACGCCACTGTATTTTTAATTATTACAATTACTTTTCAAATTTTCTGTTTTATTACAAATTAAAATCATGTATTGAATTTTTGGCTACAAGAGGCTAGAATTCTAAAATAAGATTTGTGGTACGTGGGCCAAATTGGACACATTTAAATAGGAACTACCGTTGGTATTCGAGTAGATAAAAACTGAGCTCATCTCATAAAAAGAGTCGATAAGTGAAAGCAAAGGTTTAATTTTTGAACACTTCTAATTCTGTATTTTTATTGATGTAAAACAGTCTACCTTTTAAAACATTTAAATATTTTTATCTACTTTAACCACTGAGTTATGGATGCACTACATACTACAAGAACGCGCGGGCCAGTAGATGATCAATTAACAATTTTAGCAAGACACTGGCAACAGTTTTTATCTAGAGATATATCGAAGAGATATTTTTTATTTGTAATAAAACAGGGAATTTGAGAAGTAATTGCAATATTATTGATATATATTTATATTGATATATCTTATATCTTTCTTTAACAAATTTAGTATTAACGGCCCAAATTACCAAAATTATTTTATTGAAACAGATGCGTCTTTGCGTCCGAGCTATTGATCCCTGGAAAATTGCGATAAAATATTGATCCCTGAAAAATAGCGTTAAAATCATTCACAGCAACTTGAAAAAAAAAATTCATTTTGCATTTTTTACTTGTATATATAGCCATATACAAGGGTTACTTTCGGACATAGAATACGTCGTTAAGATAATGCCTCTTCCTCATGAAACACCTTGTATCAATAAGTATATTTCGATAGTCGGTTTGGGTCTGGATTAGTGGTGTGAGATTCGATTATGTACTTTTGAATATTCGTAACGCCTAGTTACTTTTGGATTCAATCCTCGTTACTTCGGATCAGTTATTCAAGTACTCGTTCTAGTTAGTCTTACGAAAGTCGGGGACCGATTTTGGTATTTTATTAGTGCCCTTCAGATTTGTTACCATATGGATCCCTTGAATTTATTATTCCCCTAATAGAATTATTTACGTCTAAGAGTAGATAATCAGACTTATGATTTAAGTCAGTTGTTAATTGATTCCCTATTGTACTCTCTATTGTTGTAAATATATTGTACGGAGGCACTAAGAACCCTGGCGGTTGTTAATACTCGCAGTTTCTAAATAAATTGTCTTTTTAAGCAATTTTGGAAAGCAAGTTATTTAACTCTGTGAAGCCAGATGCCACACATCAATAAATAAATTGTGTACATTAGTAATATAGTGCCACAATTATCAATTTTAATAAAAGTTCTTTCACAGATATGAATTTTTTACCATTATCATGTTACATTTTATATTATAAATGTAAATGTAAAAATATAATTCAAGATTACCAAGCGGCAAGGTGTTTCTAGTGATTAAGAACAATCGACGTTGAAAAATCAAACGCGGCTCTCGGTATCTATTAGAGGTGTGCTAAACGGTTATTTTTCTGGAACAAGTTCTTCGAACACATCTCTCACATGAAACAGAAATACTAATATTTTTACCTTTTTTTAGTATACCTGTGTTTTTTTGTTATGAAACAAGTTTGTCAAAATCTTGAAAAATGGAATAACCTTCTTGTCTATGTTTTAACTGAACTTCCTCTGCTTGATTGGGCACCACAGCTTTTGTAATAGCGTTTTAATTATTTACGTGTGTTATTAAGTCAAGCGATTTTTTAATTTTCTTAAAAATCTTAAAAATTCAAGAAGGCAAAGACCTAAAAGAACGTTGATTTTTACCAATCATGAGTTTGTGTAAATTTTAAATCTGATGATGGCTGTTGTCTCGCCGAAACGTAATGAAATAAAAGATATTCCAAAAATTTTTACTTCACACTTTGACTGAGACCCACGAAAGATAAGAATATCATTATTAAAACATTATGTTTTACCTTACTCCGCCTGATTCTAAAGCATGTATCCCGGCAATTGTAGTTCCGCCGGGCGAACAAACTTCATCCTTTAAAACAGCAGTGTGTTTCCCAGTGCTCAACACCATTTTAGCAGCACCTAAAGTGGTTTGAGCCGCCATTTCTATTGCCATTGCTCTTGGGATACCCTGTTTAACACCAGCATCAGCTAGAGCCTCTATTATTAAATACACCTGAAAACGATAAAATGTAAACTTTTAACTGGCGATGTGTTGATATTCCTCGAATTATTTTCTCATTGCTCATGCTCATTCTCAGATGGATAAATCCGGATAGGTTTAATGATTTTATGAAATATAGTAATTCTGATCCACACTTAACGTTATTTACGTTCGTTCGTTCATCTGCAGGACCCCATAAGTTGTTCAAAACAAAATCAGGCAAGAAACTCCCAATACTACCACCCAGCCAACGTAATTAAAAAAATGGGTTTATATAATAAATGAACATTTTTCAACTTGTTCGATCGTTTCTTGAAGTTAACAATAATAAATCTGAATCACCCTTCATAAATATTACTCACAAATGCAGGTCCGCTACCTGCCAAAGCTCCAATGGCATTAATCATTGCTTCTGGAACCTGTTTGCAAACCCCAGACACTTCCAAAATATTCTTAACTAATATGATATCATGGGGAGTTGCTCTGATTCCAGGGCAAAACGCCGTGCAACCTTCGCCTACCATCATTGGAGTATTCGGCATAACTCTTATTATGCGAGCACATTCCTCTAATGGACTTAATACCTGAAAGTCATGGAAATACATTTAGCAAGTACTAAGGGGAAAATAATGATATTAGGAATAGTAGATCTTCTACTTTTTCAACAGCAACTAACGATTATGCACATGACAAAGTGAGAAGCTAGAGCCATTGAAGGAAACCCGCAGTCGTTCTTATCTAAGTCGTACAATGCCACATGCAAATCATAACATAGTATGCACGTATAAATACATATATCAAAATTACGTTTTCAAGTTGCTCCAATTGAATTCCTGCCAACACGGAAACAAACAGTTTGGATTTCACAGGTAGAGCCAAGGTTTCATGTACGTTAGCTATCGCAGATGGTAAAATGTGGGGTTTCATTGCTAAGAATATCACATCAGCTTCATCTACTACTCGGCCATTTTCTGTGTAAGCCGTTACACCTCGTTCAATCCACCACGACAGATTTTCAATGTGAGGACCTGAGACAATTATTTGCTGATATTGGGCCAATCCTGAAAAAGTAAACGCTAAATACCTTTGAATGGAAACGAATACACTTTGTATTCTCGATAATCTTGTAACATTCATAGTTTTTGCGAAAAAATGTTTTCTTGCCAATTAAGAATTTTAAACGTTAATTATTCTTTGCATTAACAAAACTTAAACAGACATGCACAGATATATTTTATGGAAAGTTGCTCTGGATTTGCGTGATTGAAACGTCAGGGCAATATTTTGTTAAAGTTACCGCGCTCTTCCTAAAACTTTGCTTTTTTCGTCGGATTTATTATCGTAAGAACGCAATTGAGACGAAAACGCTTCCAAAAGACGTCCATATTAGCTAGTAATTATAAATCGCTTGCCTATTAATTTATTATAGAAGCACATTATCCCTTACTACGGCATTTGCAGTTAATGTCTGATATTTTTAAATAAATAGGAAACATAAATATCTGTTTGCACAAAAACTGTGTTTACTACAAGATTTTACCTAGACCAAATACAGTCATATAATGATTAGTGCACCCACTGAACATAAAACGAGTTGATTTCAGCGACAAAATATGGTTCTGCCAGTTTTTGTATCAAGACACCGAATAATTCACCACTGCCCAAAGCGGATGAACTCGGTCGCTTCATTAAAATCTGAGCCGTACATAAGAACAAATTCGCAGTGAGTTTCATTAAAATCTAACGAATCATTCTTTTAATGTTTCAAAAAATATGTTGCTTTCTGGAGTAAGGAAATGTAACACTTGAAGACATTAAAAAAAATTAGATGTTAGCCGATTAAATGCTATTCTATGCCGAAATCTTTCTACCGGAGAATTGCTATGTCCGATATGTTTGCGTAAAACTGTTATTAGTGTGCAGAATCGCAAGCAAGAAAATCCTTTTAAGGCGCAGCAAATTATTTTCTCAAACATTATTTAGATATAAATATCTTCCGAATTTTCGGAATGTCAGTCAGGTAAACTTGCATGCTGGTCCCCAACTTCCGAAACTGATAGTGCACTTAAATAATACACCTAAACGACAAAAAATGGCTCACCTAAGTAAGTAGTAATGTAACTAAATTATAAGTGTTTAGATGCAAAATAAAAACTGTACTAACCCAAATAGAAATTAAACCTTTAGAGATAACAATGCAAAAACAAAGCAAAAGCAAATTAGAAGCTCCAATAGCTCCACATTATTTACTGCTTGTAACGTACGCAAACTCTTGCAATAGCTTAATTGCAATACAATTAAGATACAGTTTGTGAATATGTTTATAAAGCATAATCTTAAGTTGGCAAAGTTGAAAGTAAGTGTTTTATAATCGAATTTCATGAACATTTCATATGTACTGGCTAGTAGGTTCCAAAAGGATTATAATAGTAATACCAATCATTACAAAAATATTTTCAGGGTTGTAACTTAAGTATTGAGATCATGTGATTAAGTATACAAATAAGAGAAGAAACGTTTGATACATTTTTTCATATTGTACTATTATATACATATTAATGAAATTTTTTTTATCAAACAAATAAATAAAAACAAACCGTTTTTTATGATTCCTTCGCATATAGCTTTTGCCATGTTACCGCCCCCAATGAAGCCAATTTTCTCCTTTATTACTTGGCTGGACATTTTTAAATCACCCATTATGCAATTTTAAATGTAATAAATTGTTTGAATTAATGTAAATAAAAATACTAATATTTGACTTTACATTAAGTGTGGTTAGACGCATATAGATCTGCTTACACCAAAGAGAGTTTTTATTAAACTTACCATATCCATCATGATAACATAATTGCAGATAAATATATTGTAATGTTTTTTACTCTGGTTTTTTACAAAGAATATACTTTTGGGAGAAAAAGCATTGCGATAAACCAAACAAGCCTAAACAGAAGAGCTAAAATTTCTTTTCAGAGACAGAGACAAGAGACAACTAATATCTTGTCTCTGTTGGTAACCTGAAAGTTTTTGACGTTTGCTGGTTAAATATATCAAAAATCCAATTTTTCGACGATTTTTGAGTTAGCAGTAATATAATAATCACGTGTTCAGCTAGTGGATACGTTTCGTTTACGTACTCCAGATTCCATTTCTAATAGTGGTGAAGGCTGAAGTAGAACCGTAGATAAGGAGCCGCTCAAGTCCTCTGACGACCTTATTCACCTTGAAAAAAACGCAAGTATCAAAATATCCTAATTTGTCGCAAATTTGTCAACTTCTTATTTATTTTAAGTATTTATAAAGTATGGCTTCAAAAGGGACCCTTACAGTATTGAACTTGGCCGGTTTAAATAAAATGCTTGGCAGGAGGGCATTTTCAAGCACCAAGGCAGTAGCAGCTAAGCAGATGACCGTCCGGTAAGCGCAAAAATATTTTTTTTATAATTATCTTCTAAATTAGTTCCTACTTTTATAAATACACTTTCATTGAAAAATTGATTAAATTGTACCATGGTTCTACCATTGAACTTATGTCTTCGTGGAAGAACATATAAATTAGAATATAAAATCAGAAAACATTGTACACCGTATTAATTGTATATATTTTCCTGACTGTATTTCAACTTAATTCAAAAGAAATTCCTGCGTTCCAGTCAATTTGATTGTTTACCATTTAAAATATTACAAAAACGTTTCGGTGTTTTTCTCCACCATCATCAGTTTGTCTTCACATTTGGCAAGCCATTGAAAAATCTATAAAGTTTAGTTAAAAAAAGTAAAAATTTTTTAATGGCTTGCCAAATGTGAAGGCAAACTGATAATGGTGGAGAAAAACACCGAAACACCGTATTAATGTTAGGTGGTCAGTACCTAGTTTGTTTTTGATAAGGTTCTAATTGAGATGTGTATATTTTTTATGTCGCCCATCAAAGAATGACCATTCAGTATCCGAACAGTTTAATTGGTTGACCCTACTGTACAGGACAAATTCTATTCTTCGTTGTCATAACTAAACTAACTTTAATAAACTAAAAAAAATACAATATTTTTTATGTTTATTGAGAAAAGAATGGTGGTTTTTAAATAATTTCTTTTCTATAATAATATTTTTTTAAGTGAAGCAAATACATGGTTTTTCATTAATTTAGAAACAGTTGAATCCAGCAAATTCTAATTATTCTGTATATTCGCACTTGTCTTACGTTTATTAATAAGTACATTTTGTTTCACATGATAGTGATGCTCTGAACTCTGCGCTGGATGAAGAAATGACCAGGGATGAAAAGGTTTTTGTTTTGGGTGAAGAAGTGGCACAGTATGATGGTGCATATAAGGTAACCAGAGGACTATGGAAAAAATATGGCGACAAACGGGTTATCGATACTCCAATAACGGAAATGGGTTTTGCCGGTAAGTTTGTGAATAATTGGTGTACATTTTGTTTAAAGAATACTTTTAATTTATATTTATTAACGTGATGACATTAAAGCTCATTCTCAATGCCATCTTAAGTAATATGCGTTTGAGGTTCTCCAACGTGTTGACTAGTCTCTAGCATGCTGGTTGCACGCCATATAGAGGGTGCCGCTCAGAAGTTGACGATTTAAGTCTTTCTTTATAGGCTTTATAGCTCTTCAGAGAGCAGGCGGGGCTACCTTTGCTAGATGGTAAACTGTATGGCCTCATGCATCCTGAAATGAGTCTACGACTGTCATTCAGCGCAATATCAACTTGTTTGGCGTGTACTGACTTATACCACATTGGGAACGCATATTCCTCGGCGATAATTACATAACATACCGGGTGTCAATTTGAAGACTCCACCCTTGAAATCGGAAATACTCGTCAATTTTATTTCTAAGGGGACACTTTAAATTAATATTTTTAGCCTCCTTGTTTCAACCCCCTAGGACGGGTAGATATCACCCTTAGAATCTTAAATGGGAAACGGGGTCAAGTGGCACATCGTACATCAGTCGTACTCCTATGAGCAATAGAGATGATATTGAATTAGAAAGTTTTTCCAGTATTTAATAGAATACAGTTTCAGTATTTCCGCGACTAAATACTTGTAATTGTGAACAATAAATACTTAAAAATGTGCAATTGATTAATGGTCTAGCGCCGCTTTTTTGTATGTATGAAGGACGCGCTCGAAAACATATCATAATAGGCGCTATTAGACGGCAACATTTTTATTAAGTAATTTGAATATAACAAATATCATTTGTTTTTAGGAATAGCGACTGGTGCCGCCATGGCTGGCTTACGCCCAGTTTGCGAATTTATGACATTCAATTTTGCAATGCAAGCCATTGACCATATCATTAATTCAGCAGCAAAAACATTTTACATGTCTGCTGGGAGAGTCAACGTGCCTATTGTCTTCAGGTATTTAAAGTTTGAGCAGGCTGAACTGCTTAGTGCTAAATTATAACCCTATCGTTTTACTTCGGGTTTGTCTTAGAGGACCAAATGGTGCAGCAGCCGGAGTAGCAGCACAGCATTCTCAATGTTACGGCGCGTGGTACGCACATTGCCCGGGACTGAAAGTGAGTTTATTTCTATTTTTCATAGCCGTTTTCTGTAAAACATCATTTATTTAGGTAGTTTCACCGTACAATTCAGAGGACTGCAAAGGTCTTTTAAAAGCCGCAATTAGGGATCCGGATCCAGTAGTTTTCCTCGAAAACGAAATCTTGTATGGTGTCCAATATCCCATGTCCGATGAAGCTCTTTCTACCGATTTCGTTCTCCCACTTGGAAAAGCAAAAATTGAAAGAGCAGGTAAGTTTCAGGTTTTTTACTGTAAATTGAAATATTACCTACATCGGTACATTGACGGTTTAACGCTATTAACACACATGAAAAATACGTGAAACTAAATATACAGGGTCAATAAAAAATGACCTCTAGCAAAAACTTCATAAAATGTTTAATTTTGAAATAAAAAAAAATTATTAACAAAGAACAATAAACAACTATTTTGACTACAAAATACTCAGTCGGTTTCGAAGTGGCCTTCCTGCGCACCTTAACAGAGCACCAAACGCTGCCGACATTTTTCTGCCTCACCACGCCCTTCTTACGGCGACAATTGCTGCTGGGTCCACGGAAGCACGACGGCTTCGAGGATGTCACGGTGATAGACGGCCTTGTTGATTTTGACCCCTGTTACACGAGAACGTGGGGGTCTTGACCATGGCGTAAATGCCGGCCCAAACCATAAAGGTCGCGGAAGTTTGGCGTTGTTCGACGATATCCAATGTGCCGGGGGCATAAGCGGACCAGCTCCTATCGTTCTAGTGATTGCGTTGTTCAACGGTGATCAGCTTCTCATCAGTGAAGAGGTTTTTCTCCCACTGAAGGGGAGCTTGGTGACGAAGGAGTCGTTTGCATCGTTCAAACCGTACGCGCTTGTTGTCGTCGGTGAGGAGCCGAACTTTTTTGAGCTTGTAGGGCTTGAGATACAGATCCTCTCTGGTTATTTGGCGGATTGATTCCCGATTGATACCAGTCTCAGGTGCGATTTTTCTCATGGAGACTCTCGGCGTTCGCCTGACATGTTCTCGGACGAGCTCGCGATTCTTGACAGTTTTGACGCCGCGCTTTCTACCACTTCCTGGCTGGCGATCAGTATGATCTAGCTCTTGGCGAACCTCTTGATGGTTCGTCGGACGTTTGATTTGTCGAAGCCAAGCGCTCGCGCAATATCGATCGGACGCTTTTTCAACTCATGTACCGCCAAAATTTTTTTCTTTGGTTTGACATCTTAATAAAGTTAAGTTCAAATTAAGAGGTAGTTTAGCGGATTTCTGGGGACTCATTGGGAATTTGGCTTAATCAGATTTTCATTAAACTTCCCGTGTTTAATTGTAAAGCTTCGTGGGCTGATTGGATAGATACTAAACACATTTATATTTTTTGTGAACCTCCCGGTTGTCCAGCACTTCACATGCGAAAGAAATAAACACACATATGAGCTCGGTTGCTTCCATGTTATATAGCGTGGATGTCTGTATAGCTTCTTATAAACCTAAATTATATTGTGGTTCGATTATAACAGGTTTTCATTTGTAGGTCAGTTTCCAAGCAGTTTGTGAAATGTTTAAAGACAGTGGGAAATGGTGTCTATTGGAAATATTGAAAAATAATTGTTGTTTATAAATATCTCAGTTTTTTTTTTAAGTATAAATATCTGTATAAAACGAGATATATTTTAAGTAGACAGAGAAATTTGGGTTATCAAATGTTTATCAAATAAGATTTATTGAACGTGTAGTTACATTAGCAAAAAAATATGTTCTTAGGTAAACACATAACGCTCGTGTCCCATTCGAAGTCAGTAGAAACATGTCTAGATGCTGCAAAGGAATTGGCAGGAAAAGGCATTGAAGCTGAAGTCATAAATCTTAGGTATGTACATCCTTTTAATGCTTAATTTTTATTGGAAAATTATAAACTAGTCGCATAAAATATCGGGTATAGTCTGATCATTCATCCTACAACGTTAAGTCACAAAACGTGACGGGAGGCAGCAAATGAGGGACGTCTGTAAATCGCGTGTTTCTCCCACCCAGGTACAGGTGATTTTTGTTAACAGCTCAGCGAGCTATGACAAAGAACTTCCATATTAACAGATCAATAGAGCAAACGATATTGTTGCATATTATAAAGCTGTATATTATTTTATTTCTTTAAAATAATTTCGATATTTGAATAAAGTGGCTTAGTTTTGTTTTATTAACCAATTTTTGATGCCGCAGTAAGCTACACATTCCGCAGCAATACAGTCCGTAAATTCAACTTCTAATTGTATGTTTAAGTATTTGACTTAAACAGGACTCCTTGCACTTATTACCTCTTTGGACTTTTGATTACTTTTGTACAGTAGATAGTGATACTTCCAGAGTATCAGATACTCTCTTTAAAATAGTTTAATATGTTTACACAGTTTGGTTAAAGCATCAAGTAACATTGTACACTGAATACACATGTTCAAGGGGTTTTCCTGATGTTTTTATACGCTGAAAATAGTTAGATAAAAATTAAAATAGCTTGATAATTAAACGTTGTTCGTGCGATATCGTGACGTAATGTTGTAGGATGGTTGATAGGCTTTACATACATTTGCATTCATTTAGGATACGAAATAGGATATCTCAAATTCAAGTGACAGATCAAATTTAATTTAAAAAAGTGTGTAGAACTTATTACCTACAACTGTTTCTTTGGAAAATTCAAATTATGAATGATTGAAAGATGACTAAAATTAAAACTTCAATTCCCTCCGATCTAATCGCACTATTAGAAGCATATTGGCAGACGCATTAATTTAATTAAAGTTCAGTAGTTTAGATTGCAATAAAAAAATGTAAAATTGTCTACCACTAAGACCTGATACTTAAATCTGTCGTATCAACAGATGTTACCCTAACATAAGCTAAAATTTTATTGTTACAACGTTTGTATCTAACATTTTATTATTAACTAAATTATTAACTAAATTACAGTTGTTTGAAAGGTAGCACAAAATTCGAGTAATGACCAACATATTTGCAAAAGAGATGTTTAAAACGTTAGTTATTCTAGTTTTCCAAAGTCCAAATATTTAATTTCTAGATCACTTCGCCCATTAGACATCGAAACAATATCCAAATCCGTAGTTAAAACAAACCATCTAGTCAGTGTGGAACAGGGTTGGCCGACTTGTGGAATCGGATCAGAAATTCTAGCTAGGTTGATGGAAAGCGAAGTATTTTACCATTTAGACCAGCCTGCAGTTAGATTGACTGGTAATCTATTTTTGTAATTACACGGTTAGCACCGGGCCCCATTACTCATTTCTGATTTTATTCTTTTTAGGAGCCGATATTCCAATGCCATACACCCAAAGCCTTGAAGTAGCTGCATTGCCACGACCAGCTGACGTTACCGACGCTGTTAAAAGACTGCTGAAAGTGAAGTGAGCTTTTTGCACAAACCGTACTATGACCCAACGAACTTTTGCGCTGTTCAAGTTAGGGGCTGATATTACATATTTGGGATTATACATAGTTGTTAAATAGTTGCGGTCCGTAGAAAACAATCGGTGACGAAAAATCCTTTTGGTTTTACTTAACCAACTTGCGCTCAGAATATTTATTAAAGTTTTATTTGTTTATTTATATTTTTACAGATTGTTGATAATGTTATAATAGCCGTCACTGATCAAAATTTAATGTTCCAGCCTTGAAATAAAACAGTGATACCAATTGGTCTCCGTGGCGTTTGAATGTGTTTTTATTAAGAAAATTATATGTCGCATGAGGCAAAGTAGTAGTTGTAGATTAGTTGGTACAAAGAGCTACTCAGTTTTCATCCATTATCTAGTGAAAACATTTACATCAGTAGTGGGAAAAAAGTAGCTGATCGGTACTCGAGTACTCGATATATTGGTGTATGTATAAGGCTCGGTTACACCGAATTCCCAAGAAAATCAATCTTGCGATTGTCTTTATCTATGACTACTACTCGTACTCGCTCAGACTAACCGGCTGGTAACTAAAGTAACTGGTAATTAGTTACTACTATACTACTGATAATAATCTCGATACCGATGGATACCCACAACCGCGCAAATTAAGATTCAGATGCTTTTATTCAATTTTTCGCAATTTTCAGGGGTTTAACGATAAATAAACCACCAAGTCAGACAGATTTAAAAATGTTTTAAAGTAGAGATTACACTTTTGAAATACGAAAAATATACAACCATTATTCATGGAGTATACAGATAGTTTTTTTTCGAAAAATGTAGGTAACTAAAACTAGTCCTCTCTTGAACTACGAAAAAATCATGCTTATTTAATAAAAAAAATTAACGCATTTTTACAGATTTTCATGTAAATTAAACCATTTATTAGCGAAGAACAAATTAAAAACTAAAAAATAGGTTTACCGCTATTTGACGGTTAATTGGAGGTTATCATAGAACAAGGCTTATAGGAGCTTATGTCAAAAAGTGTATAGGTAATAGAAAAGTTTTCTATTACCTATAACTTTTCCGCTGGGAGGTCGTTTCGTCGCAAATCGCCGTTTCCAACACCTAAATTGCATCCAGTTTAGTTTTAGTGTTTAAATATTATTTTTTTCGTAAAGTTGGAACCTTAACAATATTTTCCACCTGATCCTTGCCTGTTATTATTATTATTATTTTTTATTATATCAAATTTGTTTCGGCACTAGCCTATTCGTATTTCGAGTTGTCCTCAATTTGCCTAAAAGATGTCAGGCCCTATAATTTTAATGTGTCAAGAAGACACGGTTTGTTGTTAACCTAGCAGAACATGTATGTAGAGACAAGACTTGTCTCTGATGTATGTTTTGTTTGATCAACGTAGAGAATTGTGATTTTTAAGAGCATCTCTAAGTACTGATTTATTTCCAGTTAACATAAATTTGTTAAAAACGCTGCAGGATGGCGGATGCCGCAGCCCGGCAGTTGCAATATGAATACAAAGCGGTAAGTTTAAGAGGCAAATTTCATCAGTTGGACCTTCCTTGGAAACGTTTGAGACATTTTCTTAATTCATTTGAGTTTATGAATTCATAACAGTGGTTACCTACTATTCTCACATATTATGTTAAATAATATAATATCAAGCAAAATATGCCCTATTTCGCAGTAAAGTAACATTGTGTAATCAATTGTGTACATTAACCTATGGTTTTGAAGTCATGCTCAGCATTGTTATAACTATGATGTATCTGAATGTTTAGTTTTTTATTGTTTTACTTTAAAGATCAGTTTAAACTAAGCAGTGTCAGCGAAAAAATCCTGGATGGTTCATAAATTAAGCACAAAAGCGCTTATAAAGTTTGAGGAGTCACCATTTTCAGGCTATTCGAACGGTGTTGCCAAACTGCGCAAAACGTTTTAAGTTAATGATAGTTTTATCTTTCCTGGGTCTCAGTCAAAGTGTGAAGTAAAATTTTTTGGAATATCGTTTATTTCATTACGTTTCGGCGAGACAACAGCCATCATCAGATTTACAATTTTACACAAACTACAAACACCAATTCACAATTAAAACATGTTGTATATAATTTACAGTGTTAAAACATTCATCAGTTTTTGAGGGAAAAAATTCTTCCTTTTGGGAGAGCAAAACACCGGAAAACCTTACCTCATGATTGGTAAAAATCAACGTTCTTTTAGGTCTTTGCCTTGCTGTAAATGTCTAGCATTGCTAAGTGACTAGAAAACACATATTTTTTTTACGCAAAAACTATGAATGCTACAAGATTTTTCAAAGAGCGCAAAATTGTGAATAAATGATTAGTGCATCAACCTAAAAAAAATGAGTTGTTTTCATCCTCCAACTAAAAAGTTCTGGTAGTTTTTGTACCACGACACTCAAGAATTCACCACTTGTCCAAAACGACTGAACTCGATTGTTTTATCAAAATATGAGTCTTACATAAGAACAGATTCACACCGAGTTTCACTAAAATATATCGTACCATTCTCCCGATATTCCGAAAAAGATAATTTTTTTGAAGAACTTTGACCAATAATAGCAGAGGACCCAGACATTTTTTGTTAATAAAAGTTAGTTCAGATCGTCTTCTTTTGATCCAAAGAATATCGCAGTACCCTTTTGATCATGAGTTTACGGGACACCCTGTATAGACGCCGCATAGTAAAATTTCCGTTCAGAATTTACGATTTCAAACTCCTCATTTCTACAAATCAACAAATATTTCAAAACAATGAACTAAGTAAGGTAAGCCTTAATATAACTCACATGTATGTCAACACTACAAACTATGTAGTTACGCGTCTTTCCTCAAAACACTGTTTAGAAACTATGATAAATATATCTGAAAGTCAGTAAACCTTACAATAGGAAAAAAAATGAATAAGTTGTTTAGTTTAGCTAATTATGTATCATTGTAGTATTGTTATATGAAAAAGCGTGTTAGAACTGCCTACGAGACTTTAAGAAACATTACAAAAATATATACATTATGGTTCAGATGTATGGTATTAAATGTGCACTACCTCAACAAATAATCTTTTATTAAATTTTTTAACTGCAACAGGTGAAAGGATGAAACGTTGAAACCTGTATCTTCTTTTAAACTGAATAATTTAATTTACCCACCATCAGCTGAAAAACGTTGACCTTTCTAGAATTCAAATCTTGTACTACAAGCCGACGTTCGTCTTATCGAAAGACGTGGTCGTGATGAAGCGACTGGAGAAGTTATGTCCCTTGTGGGAAAACTCACCAGCACTAAAATGGGAGACAGAGCGCAAAGAACGAAACCCGGAAAGGCAGAAGAACGAAAAGTCAAGTACGTAATGTCTTCCTTAAATGTATTTATTAATTTTATGTTGTCTATAATTACTTTGTGTTCTAGGCGTCAGAAGCGAGATGAAGCTCAATACGATTTTGCTCGCATGAAAGGTGCTACTTTACTTTCCGAAGGTGTAGACGAAATGGTGGGTATTATCTACAAACCTAAAACTCAAGAAACCCGGCAGACATATGAAGTGCTCTTGAGTTTCCTACAAGAAGCTTTAGGCGACCAACCTAGAGACATAATTTGTGGAGCTGCTGATGAAGTGCTTTCAGTATTAAAGAATGATAGGTTGAAGGAACGTGAAAAGAAAAAAGAGACCGAACAGCTAATAGGTAATGTGGCAGTTTAGAATAACATTTTTGATTCAAGTAACAAAGTCTATTGTTGTAGGCAGTATACCCGAGGAGCGATTTGCCCTGCTAGTAAATTTAGGAAAAAAAATTTCCGATTTCGGCACAGATGAATTAAAAACAAATGTAGGCGAAGAAAACATTGATGAAACGTACGGAATTAATGTGCAGTTTGAAGAGTCTGAAGAAGGTATGCTCAATTAAAATTAAGAGTTGACCTGTTTGAAGCTTACATCACTAATTAAATTAATTATTAAATTAAAATTAACTTTTAGAGGATGATGAAGACATGTATGGTGAGGTTCGCGACGAGTTTGACGAAGAAGAAGGGGAAGAAGCTAGAGAAGACGGAGCAATTCATGCAGAAAATGTATGTATAAACAATAGAAAATTTTTTCGCATTAAAGATTTGTATATTTTGATTGGTTTAAATTGCATATACGATAGATGAAAAAAACTTTTGTCTTTCAGCTTGGAGTAAGTGCGGAGGAACTAAAAAAAGAAAAAGCACTTCACCCAATGGACATCGACGCTTACTGGCTTCAAAGAAAACTCTCTAAAATATACGATGACGCCATGATTTCTCAAGCTAAAGCTACTGAAGTTCTTAACGTTTTAAGAGATGCGAGTGATGATCGAGAGCTAGAAAATCAATTGGTGTTGCTCCTTGGTTACGATTGTTTCGATTTCATTAAGCAACTGAAAAAAAATCGAAAATTAAGTAAGTAGTCGAGCTATTGTTTTGTTGAGTAGTTCAAATTTTGCATGGGCGATGGAGTTGAAGTTGCTAATGAAGTCACTCCCTTAATTGGATGCTGTTCATTTACGTTCCGGTTTCTGCAGTTCAGCCCCCTTCTTTCACCACACCTACATTTTTTATCGGAGAAAATCTGACACAGACATTCTTCATTCAGTCATTCAGGACATTCTCAAAATTATGTTGAATGTACAGGGCAACTCGATAAGTCTGGGTGCTTTATGTTACACATTTTTAAATTCAACACCTTGTATTTTTACCGGTTGCCTGTAATTTTATTGATTGAGACTGCAATGTCAAGTTGCATAACAGCTTGATTACCTAAATTAAACAAGGCGTTCATAACTAAGCACGTGCGATTTAATGTTTACTGTTTAGCTTAAATACTGGACGTTCAGATAATGCGTTAGGACATTTTGAAAGGTGATTCTACATACTAAAATAATGGTAGTAAGTCATGTAACAAACATTCAAAGTCTGAATATTTTCCGTGGAAATATAAATTTAGTCAAAATTGAACAGTAATACAATAATTACTATACATTGTCAAATTTGCCACATTTTGATTGCTTCTAAGCGAAGAGGTTTTTCGAGTCGTGTGAAGAGCACATTTTTTGTCTAGTATTTTCTAATCTTTAAAATTGCATATTTTGTGTTCTGTTATCGAAAAACTTTAGAAAACCCTGATCTAGTTTATCTATTAAAGAAATACTGGGGACATTCTTCCTTAAGCAGTGTTATTAATTAAGTGTTTGTGAATGATTGAAACAAAATGATTTTCGTTCACAAATGCATGAATAAATAATGAAATGGTTATTAAGATATTGTTCGATCTATTTATTGTTTTTAGTTCTCTACTGTACATTACTAGCGAAATCTCAAAGCGAAACAGAGCGCCAAAAACTGAAAGAAAAAATGGCAGAAGATCCTTCTTTGAAAAGAATACTGAAGTTACTTGAAACTGGAAAAGGTAAGCCATTCGACCAGCCACCTTTTTTAGTTATTTCAATTTGACATTAATTTGATTTAAATGTAAACACTGTTCCTTAATTTCAAATTCGTCCGGCATTAAACAAGCTAGTATTTTATTGGTTGGTATTATAGGTGACGAAGAAAATGGTGACGACGATACAGCATCCCGGGCTAGAAAACGAAAGCACAGTAGCGACGAAGAAGATATCGATGATGATTCGGGCAAAAAACAGGTCGCCGGCAATAGAAAGTTGGTTGATTTTGAAGATTTAGTTTTCAAGCAGGGTTCTCATTTTATGGCTAATAAAAGATGTCAACTACCCGATGGTTCCTTCAGAAAGCAAAGAAAAGGTGACTTAATAACCACTGTCAAGGGCCTTGAGTCTTAAAATATATTTTCTTGGTCTAGGTTATGAAGAAGTGCACGTTCCAGCTTTAAAACCCAAACCATTTGGCGAAAATGAAAAGTTGCAACCAATAGATCAACTGCCTAAATACGTCCAACCAGTTTTTGATGGTTTTAAAACCTTGAATAGGATTCAAAGTCGGCTCTACAAAGCTGCATTAGAAGGCGATGAAAATATCTTGCTTTGTGCCCCTACTGGTGCAGGTAAATACATGTGATGTTTGTTCGTCTTGTTTTACTTAAGCATATTGTTTGATATTTTTAAGGAAAAACTAACGTTGCGCTGCTAGCAATGATGCGAGAGATTGGTAAACATATCAACGCTGATGGGACAATAAATGCAGACGAATTTAAAATAATCTACATTGCCCCTATGAGATCGTTAGTACAAGAAATGGTTGGAAATTTCGGTAAACGACTAGCAAGCTACAATATAATCGTGCATGAATTGACTGGAGATCATCAATTGACTAGGGAGCAAATTGCCGAAGCCCAAGTTATCGTTTGTACGCCTGAAAAATGGGACATCATAACAAGGAAAGGTTTGGCATCATTTTGTTTAACTCTTGATTTTTTAAATAATACTGTGATTAATTTCAGGTGGAGAGAAAACATTTACTTCGCTGGTTCGTTTAATAATCATTGACGAAATCCACTTGTTACATGACGATAGAGGCCCCGTTCTGGAAGCCCTAGTAGCAAGAACTATTAGGATGATAGAATCGACTCAAGAAGAAGTTCGATTAGTTGGACTTTCGGCTACTTTGCCTAACTACCAGGACGTTGCTGCATTTTTAAGGGTGCAACCTGACTCTGGACTTTTCTATTTTGATAACAGTTTTCGACCTGTTGCTTTGGAACAGCAGTATATTGGAGTTACTGAGAAAAAAGCCACTAAAAGGTGTCAAATAATGAATGAAATTGTTTATGAAAAGACCATGGAACACGCGGGTAAAAATCAGGTTTTGATATTCGTACATTCAAGAAACGAGACAGGTGAATAATTGTTTTTATTATTTTGTTGAACTATTTTTGCGAAATGTTATTCCTTTGTAGGGAAAACCGCGAGAGCTATACGAGACATGTGCTTAGAAAAAGACACTTTGGGACAGTTTTTAAGAGAAGGCTCTGCATCTATGGAAGTTCTCAGAACAGAAGCAGATCAAGTTAAAAATAACGAGCTAAAGGATCTTTTACCTTATGGATTCGCGATTCATCACGCTGGTATGACCAGGGTAGACAGGACACTAGTTGAAGATCTTTTTGCCGATCGACATATTCAGGTATGAAAGCTTAGATATTGATAAGTGAAGTACTCAAGAGTTGTATCGCATCTTGTTTCCCGAAATATCTGCAACCACCGTCGTCAGTAATCCGGAATACGAATATGTAAGGGCGCGTGCACACGGTTTTCCGAATAGCATGCCGGACTCTAGAGAACCAAGCTTTATGATCGTATGCACCGCCAAGACCCTTAATCTCGATTAGCTAAATGCCTTTAATGTACGAAATAATCTGGTTTAAGAACCCAGCTGCTATGCACCTTTGAAATTCAGCGTTGGATTAGTTAAACAGGAGGGATATGGCAACCGTGAAAAATCTATCGAATTATTTTCGATAATTGCCAAAATTTGGTGTTAACAGAACAGAACATTTTGTTTCTGGCTAAAGTTGGGTAATGTATGTTGCGAGTTGTTATTGTTATAGTCGTACGTAGTTAAAAGAACGTCGTATCATGGAAAAAGAAAAGCAGCCTTATTGCCCAAATATCGAAATTTGCTATTTAAGCCAAGAAGACCGGCAGAACTTCCTTGCATATTAAATTACAAGCATGGAAAAAAATGAAAGTAATTTTAATTCCAATTCACAGAGTTGCTGGTATAGAAACTGAAGTGTCCTCAAACGATTTTATAAAAGTGAACATACCCTGACTTGACTTGAATTAATATTCAGTTGTATAAGTTCTCATAGCGACCATGAAAAACACTGTTACTAAATTCGCCATTACCTAATGTAGCCTTCAATCTGCAACTATCTAAAAACGACTAGTTTTGTTAACCAGTTTGTTGAGTATAAAAACATTTTGTCCAGTGTATCAAAATAATTGAAGCGAGTTAGTTGTGTTCTTGGAAAACCATAAGCAATTATTACTAAAATATTAATATCATCTAATATTATTTCATCTTCCAAGTTAATTCTCTAACTTGCTAAGACGAAAATAAAACCCTCAATTTCAAAGGCTATGTTATGTATGGAAACTAGTTTCAGAAGTGCATACCGTTTATGATTTTTAATACTGTTTAACGTTTAATCCCGATTAAAGTCTGTCAGTGCATACGGGCATTAGAATCATATTTTGGTGCAACAACCGAGTTCATGAGCTTTGGGGAAGTAATGAATTCTTGAGTGTGGTGGTACTAAATCTATCGGATCTTTTTATTTGGTGCATAGAATCAACAAATTTTTTTTTTGAGTTGATGCACTATTATTTATTCACATTTTTATGCTATTTGTTAAACCTTACAACATTCATAGTTTTCGCATCATTCCAAATATTTCTGATTTGTTGCCACTTAACAATGTTAGACAGCTGCAAATGTTATGATAAGCGAGGCATACATTATTTGTCACATCTCACAAATTCGTTACGAATGGCGTTGTCTAATCAAGAAATGACCGACATGGCTAAAGTATTAGAGTTTTGCGAAGACGAGTTGCGTGAGAGCCCTACGGAAAAGTGAGTCTGATGGTTTTAAAAGCAAGTTCAATATTTGAACTTGTAAATACAAAGGCCAATCATCAATCAGATAATCTAGGTCAACACGACACATTAAAAATTATGTTTAAGCAGAAGTTATAATAAATATAAATTAAAAGTTTGGAGCACCTGTTTGGTTGAAATTGTCAGGAATGTCACATACATTGATTTTTAATGTGTTGTGTTGACCTACATGAGATTGATGCTTGGCATTTGTATATATAAGTCGAGTGACGTAGTTTTGGGTTTTTGATACATGATGATGGTTATAACATAAAATAACCAAAGCGAGCGCGTCCCTATGAAAATAAATTAAAATGGACTTTAACCGACATCTAATTTCCCTAACATTTATTTTATTTGGGTTTGCAGGTACTGGTTTCAACTGCTACCTTGGCTTGGGGTGTAAACTTGCCAGCGCATACCGTCATAATCAAAGGCACGCAAATATATGATCCTACCAAAGGCAGATGGGTGGAATTGGGCGCATTAGATGTTTTACAAATGCTGGGTAAGTTTTTATTCCTGAATTTACGATGGCAACTTTAAGAGAGGTGCCTCATTAGATCAGCGATTAAATAAATGGTAAATTTGTTTATCCTAAAGAAATTTTTATCCGAATTATATTTCTTTTCAACGTCTTAAACAAATTATCAATCAATTTTATTAAATTACTTTTCCGTGCTCACTTACGATGAGAAAGCTTTATTAAACTTCTTCAATCAATAATTCCGGAAGAATAAAATAAAGCACTCTCGTTTTATGTGACGTCTCTGTCTATCGTAGTCTGTCTATTAAAGTTCGTACCTGAAGAACAATTTATTTGTCGTAAGTAAGTGTTGATTATATAAAAAAATGTAAGAAGTTATAACTCATCAAACGTTATTCAATATAAGTATGTAGGACTCACGAAAATGTTTATTTTCTTATACATTGCTGCTAAATTAGAACATTTGCGGTATACGAGGGCCGTTCGATAAGTTCTTAGCGTCGCCGCCCATTGGTGCCACTATAGCAAGATAAATTTACATGCTCGTAGACGGCTACTGTCAAAATGTCAGCCGAATCGCTATCGTAATTTTGTTTTGACCACGTGTAAAAGCCGGCGTCTGCGAATTTCAGAAAAATTTAAAAAGGGTAATATCGGTCGGTGATTCTATTCTTATTTCTTTGGACGAAAATCATGAAGCGAAATCAAAGAGCGCTTGGATGCAGTGTACGGTGACTCTCCTACTTTGATGTGGACTGTCAAACATTGGTTTAACGAGGTTCAACGTGGTCGTACTTCGGTTTTTGATAAGGCACGCCCTAAGTGCCCCGAAAAGGGCTACCATGGACGATAACATAACAAAAATCCACCATCTCTTATTGCCAGACTTGCGAGACCAAGGAACGGTTGAAACTGGACTTTACCCGCCGAACGTGCTCCGAAGAAGGCGAAGACTGTCCTATCGGCCGGAAGGTAAAGACTACCGTTTTCTAGGATTCACAAGGATCTACATCGACTACCTGGAGAAGGGCTCTACTATACCAAATTATTGGGTCGATTCGACTTCGAATTGCAGGAAAAACGGGTCCATTTGGCGAAGAAAAAGTGCTCTTTCGCCTTGACAACGCACCGGCTCACTTCTCCGCTGTCAGAAGGGCCAAATTGGCTGAATTGGGCTTCGAATTGCTGCCCCATCCACCGTATTCTCCAGATTTGGCCCCGTACGACTTATTTTTGTTTCCAAACTTGAAAAAGTTACTTGCCGGGCAGAAATTTCAGTCGAATCAGGAAGTCATCGTCACCACAGGGGCGGGCGTACTTTGCTCAGCACGAGAAAACTTATTTTTTAAAGGGGTTTCAGAAGTTGGAGCATCGCTGTGTCAAGTGTATCGAAATAAAAGGAGACTATTTTGAGAAATAAATCGCCACTTTTACAAAATTTCTGATAGGCTAATTACTTATCGGACCTCCCTCGTATATTACAGAAAATATGGGAAAATAATTGATACATACAGAAGAATCGAGAATAGAGACAGAATTTTCTAGAGATATTCTATTTTAATATAACTAATATATACATCTGTAAATTGTCTTTTTTTTATTTAGGTCGTGCCGGCAGGCCCCAATATGACACTAAAGGTGAAGGTATATTGATCACTAATCACAGCGAACTGCAGTACTACCTATCTCTTCTCAATCAACAACTGCCTATAGAGTCGCAAATGATAACAAGATTACCAGACATGCTAAACGCGGAAATTGTTTTGGGAACAATACAAAATCTTAGAGATGCTGTGACTTGGATAGGATACACTTATCTTTATATCAGAATGTTACGTGCTCACACTTTGTACGGAATTTCCCATGATCAGATTAAACAAGATCCTTTACTAGAGCAACATAGAGCCGATTTAGTACATACAGCTGTTCTTCATTTGGACCGCAGTGGTTTGGTTAAATATGAGCGAAAATCTGGCCAATTTCAAGGCACTGAATTGGGACGAATCGCTTCACAGTATTATTGCACCCATGAAACAATGTTGACTTACAACCAGTTGCTAAAGCCGTACTTAAGTGACATAGACTTGTTTCGGGTGTTTTCCTTATCTGGAGAGTTTAGAAATATCGCTGTTAGGGAAGGAGAACCAGGTGAATTGCAGAAGCTTATGGAGAGAGTACCAATTCCTATTAAAGAGAGCATAGAAGAGCCGAGCGCCAAAGTTAATGTATTGTTGCAAGCCTACATCTCCCAATTGAAATTGGAAAGTTTCGCACTTATGTCCGATATGGTTTATGTCACACAATCAGCCTCAAGATTAATACGGGCTATATTTGAAATAGTTCTTCATAGAGGATGGGCACAGCTTGCTGATAAAGTGCTAACTCTATGTAAGATGGTTGACAAGAGAATGTGGCAATCTATGTCTCCGCTGAGACAGTTTAAGAAAATGCCCGAAGAAATTGTCAAGAAGATAGAAAAGAAATATTTTCCTTGGGAAAGACTGTATGATCTGGGTCCTAACGAAATTGGTGAACTAATCAGAGTTCCGAAATTAGGAAAAACGATTCATAAATACGTACATCAATTCCCTAAGCTGGAACTTTCCACCCACATTCAACCTATCACCAGATCAATGCTTAAAGTGGAACTTACTATCACCCCGGACTTTCAATGGGACGAGAAACTGCACGGGCATGCCGAAGCCTTTTGGATATTCGTTGAAGATGTGGATTCGGAAGTGATTTTACATCACGAATTCTTCTTACTTAAACAGAAATATTGCGAGGATGAACATTTAGTCAAATTTTTTGTGCCGATATACGAGCCGTTAGCGCCACATTATTTTTTGAGGATTGTTTCTGACAGATGGATTGGAGCTGAAACCCAACTACCAGTGTCTTTCAAGTAAGTGCCTAGTCATAATTTATATTTGAGTTGTTGTTGTCCAATAATTATATGAGCTTATATTTATTTCTTAAAAACTTATATGAGCCGTTTATTTTGAACAACTTCGTTCAAATTCTGGTACGTAATAACGGTAAGTTTTGAACCGTTCATGCTATTTATTAAAAATACCTTCAATATAAGACAAACTAAATTAAAATCCGTCCATTTGTTTACTCAAAAACAAAAAAACTGCCAATTTTTACTTTTTTTTGTTAATTTCCTATAATTAATTCAGTTTTGCTTTAAAAAAATCGTTATATAATCTGAATTAATTAATTATGAAATAATGAATATTTTAAGCTAAAATTTATACAATTGTCAAGTGTACAATACTAATACATATTCTACTGAGGTACTGAGGTAACTTGGGATATGGTAATTTTTTTTGCAAAGTCGAACGAGAAAGCTAAATAATCTGAATTACGTTATACTTGCTTCTGATCTTGTTTTTGTGTATTCCTAGCTAATTATGCTAAGCTTAAATGGACATGGTGCTCTTCTGTAAGTTCATTCTTTTTTTATCACCATTCGATGCTTTAATTTTAATTGTTTAATAAGTCGAACTTTTGACATGCTTGTTTGCGCGGTTGGTGGAAATGTAAAACCAGTGCTTCTGTAAGCACTTATTACGTCACGCATCAAGCAACACACTAACGGCTTTTTTAATTTTCTTCGCAATGAAGCTCGGATAAATTAAACATTTTCCTAAGAGTTAAATCAGGAAGTAGATCCATCTAGATAGAAGAGCAAGCATCCCGTGTAAATCATTGCCTACATTTGCAGGGTTTAATACTCGTTTTAAGCGTCCTTCACTTACTTTACATGTATCCAAAAAGAAACTTTTTACCGACGGGAACTTTTCCATTTTTAGAATTTAACAAATATCTAAAACTCCAATTTCTTGGCGAACCATTTCCGTTTATTGAACGTCTTCGTTTCACAATTTTGCGCTTGACAGCTTCATAAAGCAATACATTTTGTTGCTTAAAATTCCAGCCCAACCCTAAAACTTCTTAAAATGTGCTTTCTTTCTTATTCATCCTAATTTTTTGTGCACGCCTTCCTACAACGGCAATCTTTGTTTTGGAAAATTTTTACAGGTACAATATTTTCAGTTTGAGTACAATATATTCTTCTTGAGTTTCGTTTAATTTGTCGCACTTTTTGAATGTATGATTCTCTATCTCTTCTGTATTGTTGCTCGTATCTTCATCCCCTGAAGACGAATATTGTTTTATAATTCTTTGATTTTTTATTTTTATAAAATCATTAGTTACTATTTCTTTTTCACTATGTGAACTAAATATATTTGTTCTGTTCCTCCTCAGGACTTCCCCATAATGCCTAAAATTTAATATTAAAATTAATTAAAAAAAGGTTTTGTTTTTGTGTTCGTATTTGTTTAATGTAAATTTTTTTGGTTGGTTTCACGGGACAAATTAAACACAGAAAGTTTCTTCTCACTTTTGTCGACTTTTCTACCCTTTTATTGGGGTCATCCTCAGGAGATTAGTAGATATTATTCACAAAAATTATATTTTGATTGATATTTTATTATGCATAGTTCAGATCAAAACTAAAATTAAAATTTGTATATGTATGTATATTTTTACAGGTTCAGATCAAAACTGAAATACAATTCAAAACACACTTAATATTCGTGTTCTAGTAGTGATGGCTACTACAATTAATTTCATTCCCAACCGTTTTCTTTCAGGCATCTTATTCTTCCAGAGAAAAACTTTCCACCTACTGAGCTTCTCGACCTACAACCGCTGCCAATTACAGCTCTAAGGAGTGAAAAATACGAATCTCTTTACAACGAAAAATTTCCTCAATTTAACCCGATTCAAACCCAAGTTTTTAATTCTGTGTACAACGGGGATGAGAATATATTTATAGGAGCTCCAACTGGCTCAGGCAAAACTACAATAGCCGAGTTTGCAATTTTACGTCTATTCGATAGAAACCCAGACGGTAGATGCGTTTACTTAGTTCCGAGAGATGCGCTCGCTGAATTAATCTTTGCCGACTGGCATATTAAGTTCGGCCAAACTATGGGTAAAAAAGTAGTGCTTTTGACCGGCGAGACTGGGACAGATCTTAAGTTGTTGGCAAAAGGGCAGATAATTATTACCACTGCGGAAAAGTGGGATGTACTCTCGAGAAGATGGAAACAGCGAAAGAACGTACAGAATATTAACTTGTTTATTGTTGATGAGTTGCATTTGATTGGAGGAGAAGATGGCCCTATAATCGAAATTGTTTGTAGCAGAATGAGGTAAGGGAGACATTAATTCAATAACTTCCAATGCAATTGTTTACATTTCACAGATACATCTCATCTCAGATCGAAAAACCTATTCGAATAGTTGCTCTTAGTGGGTCCTTAACCGATTACAAAGATGTAGCACAGTGGTTGGGATGCAACGCTAATGCTACCTTCAATTTCCACCCAAGTGTGAGGCCCATACCTTTGGAATTACATGTGCAAGGTTTCAATTTGACTCATAACGCATCTAGACTGATCGCCATGGGAAAACCCGCTTATAACACCATTATAAGGCACAGCCCTCATAAGCCTGTAATAGTGTTCGTTCCAACAAGAAAACAAGCCAGGTTAACAGCTATTGATCTTCTGACTTATGCTGCATCGGAAGGGCAATCGAACAAGTTTTTCCATGCAGAGGAGGAAGACATTAAGCCCTTCTTGGACAGAATGACCGACAAAGTAAGTTTTTATCAGAACCAGTTTTGAATTGTTTGAATGATGATTCAATTAGTTCATTTCTGCTTATTAAATTTCGTGGAGATCTAGAAGTACGTCTAATATTTAGTAGTCCACTATAATTCAGTACTGTAGAATATTATATAAGGGCAAGATGTTAAGGGCACCTTGGAAAATAGAAATCGTTCATTTCTTGTGCAGAAACTCAACCAAAATTCTAATTTTCATATAGTTTAATAATTAGTATTGCTTTCTGAATTAGAAAATTAGTCTTAGTTCAATTGAGAAGAAAATATATCAGGTGTATTTATGTTGCATTTTATGATTGAAAAAAGTGTTAATACTGAGACTCGTTAAGGAGCAACGGTTAATCATAAGTTACCCATTGTCGTTCATTAAACTGCGTTACTCCGGGAATTGGTTCATTACTGATGCGGGCATTAAAATCTCCCAGTATAATACTGGATTATCTGGGTGGTATTGGGTCAATGGTACTTTCTAGTTCATTGAAAAAATTTCCTGTTACTGTTTTGCCTTATTATCTTCTGGTGCATAGATACATACTATATTTAGAGGATACGAATCAGTAATTAGCTTAACCAGCATTATTCGTGATGATATGTGCTGACAGTTCTCCACTTGGTCGATATATTTTTTATGTAAGGCTTCAGCCACACTTTCCTTAGCTCTCTCGCTCTATCAGTATTGCTGTATTTTACAATATATCTCCATATCGTCGGTTGAGAATTATTTTGAAATATGTCCATATTTATACTAATTTTAGTTGAAATCACCAACTCGTTTAGTAATTGAGCAAACAGAAGAATTACATATGTCCGTCATAGCCAAACGGTTCAATGTAAAGAAAACATGATATCAAGTTTCAAATTCAAATACTACGCATTTATCATTTTGGGACTTAAATGGATGTAGTCAGAACTACGTACATCTTTACATCAGGTAACTTAAATACCAATGGCCTGATTGATATTTATGTTATAGAAACTCAAAAAAGACAATGTAGAGAAAACCTTATGCTTAAAAATTGTGAAGAGACTGACACTTATTGTTCTTATAGTAATTTTGTTTATCGATTAGCTTT